TTAAGATCAGATGTTATAACACCCAAAACACCATTATCGAATACAAGTCGTAAATAATAAATTACAGTTAGGATTATAGAAAATATAGGCATATAAAAAGGAAGGCAATATACCAGTATATATTTTTTCAAATTTAATTTTTAAATGATTATATTATTTGAGTTTATAAAATTAAAAGCTTAAAACAAGTTTTAGAAGTTTTGCTTTTGCGTTAGCTTTTTCTAAAGTCTATTTTTCTCTTTTTTGACCCCATGATGTTAGTGTCGATAGGTCAACTAAAACAAATAACAGTCAATGATTTTCAATCACATTTTTGAAACCTAAATATCGGTAATTGCTACATGAAAGATAATGTCTATGCAATTGCAGCAGAGTACACATATCAACAAAATGTAAATAGCTCACTGAGGCGACTTATGATTTTTTAGGGCTTAGATTTTGATGGTGAAAAAGTATGGAACTTACAGCTTGATTTAGGTTAGAATATTATGACATGGCCGCAGCTCTATCCAATACAAGGGTTTGATTACAAATGTAACAGCGGGGATTCACGCAACGGAAAAGAAAATGATGAAATGATAAGAAACAGACTATCTCAATTTTCTCTTACTACAAACGCTATTAACGCTAAATCATTCATTTATCTTGAAAACAATGAATTTGTTTTCAGGTTCTGTGTGAAAACATTTTATTTTTCCGTTTCCGGTTACATGTGTATTATCCCCACATGAGGATTTGTTTGTAAGGTAGTTTTGAAATTGGCGGTATCGGATATTTGCATTGTACCCAGTGGCTTCTCCACTTAAAAGTTGCAAGGAACACGAAGCAAGTTAGAGAAAGAAAACCAAGTTAGACCGCCCTTCAATAGGTGAATAAAATTATTTCAGGAGTGGTTTAAGTGACGACTGGATATATAAAAGTGACTGTTTTCTGATGAATGGAGAAATTAGGAAACCATGCAAAACCAAACATTGAATAATAAAGGTAAATTTATAATTATATATGTATATATGTTACGATAAATGTAATTGAGATAGTGTCTGGCATATGAATTCTATCCTTAACTACAGTACTAGTTCCATGAGGATTTCGATCCTTGGTCAAGGTGGTTGTTTTCTTTATTGTGTGAAATACTAAACACTTTAGCGATCAATTATTTGCGGTAAAACTACCTGCATGTACATATTATCATTTAACTCTCTGAACTCCCCTTTTGGCGTTAGTAATTAGTGTTTTAGTAGCAAATGTCCTGTCTGAACTAATCTGCATTCAAAATCGTGTCTCATGCAAACGTATATGATCTGGATTTATATGAGAAAATTTACATCATCCTCAAAAAAAAATTTATCTTGTCTTAGTTTGTCTAAATGTGTGTGTAGACTGGGGGTATATATACGTGTTCTTTAGATGAATGAACTTTCCATACAAAAAACCAACGGAAAAATTATTTTTTGATTTTACAAAAATTGTACAAGAAATACTACTCGACTGTGGTGCGCAACATGTATTCTGGCGTGCCTGAAGAAATAAATGCCCATGGGATTTGAAAAATTGAAAGTTTAAAAATAACTTTATGAGATGATTTACGAGTTTTAAAATTTTATCAATAGGTCAACAATGGATTTGTTAAAAATATGGCGGCCATATTTCCTTTGGACATGTTTGAAATACATTCAGCAAGTGTTCAATTGCATCAGCCTTAAGGAAAGCATAAAAGTGGAGCTTCGGTCAAAGAAAGTAAATGTGATAGATGTGTTTGAAATCAAACTGTTCGACAATAATCAAGAGAGGGACTTGCCTCCTTCACCTTTTTTCTTCGTGGATATAGACTGGACAATACAGTTTTCAACGTCCTTAAGATATTGTTTGTGACGTCACCATGCTACTGTATGCGCATTGAACCCCCTCGCCTCGTTGAATACGCCTTGAAATCAGTAAAAAAAAATGCATGTGTTTGTATAGATTCTTCGTTGTTTATTTATAGATTAAATAATAATGTATTTCATCATTACTATATTGAGATAAATGAGTCCCTCGAAAGTCATTTATTAAATAAGATGTAAAATGTATGTTTTTTTTCCTGTAAAAAGTGATCAATTTATTTTTAGATGTTTATTTTCTATCTGCGAATAATGAATGTAAAATATAGTATGTTAAAGATGGTTGCTTTGGCTTTGAAATACTGAATGTACAATGCACCAATGTGAGTTTAGAGAGGAAATTTACTCTGTAAATTTTTGCTATTTTCAAATTGTAATTGTTGTGGTGAAAACTGTATCTGTGATATCTTTGGGAGGAAATTTACTCCGTAAAATATTGTTATATCAAGGATAGTCGCTTTTGAATTGACTACTGTATGTTAACTGTATCAGTGTCGTTTTTGAGAGGAAATTTACCCTGTAGATTTTTGCTAATTTTCAAATTGTAATGTGGTAGTGAACACTATATCTGTGATAGTCTTTGGGAGGAAATTTACTCTGTAAAATCTAGCTGCGTAAAAGATGGTTGATTTGGCATTGAAATACTGAATGTACAATTCAATGCACCGACGTGAATTTAGAGAGGAAATTTACTCTCTAGATTTTGTTAATAACAAACTGTAATGTAAGAAGTGAACACTCTATCAGTGAAATTCTTTGGGAGGAAATTTACTCCGTAAAGCCTTGTTATCTTATTTTTAGTGTATGAATGTCATTTTGAGAGGAAATTTCCTCTCCAGATTTTTGCTATTTTCAAATTGTAATGTAGTTGTGTACACTATATCAGTGATATTTTTGGGAGGAAATTTACTCCGTAAAATCTAGCTGTGTAAACGATGGTTGATTTGGCTTCGAAATACTGAATGTACAATGTACCGACGCGCATTTTGAGAGGAAATTTACTCCGTAGACTTTTTTTCTATGTTGAAATGTAGAAGTGAACAATGTATCGGTGATATTCTTTGGGAGGAAATTTACTCCGTAAAATCCAGCTATGTTAACGATAGTTGATTTGGCATTGAAATACCGAATGTACAATACACCGACGTGAATTTAGAGAGGAAATTTACTCTCTAGATTTTTGTTAATAACAAACTGTAATGTAAGTAGTGAACACTCTATCAGTGAAATCTTTGGGGGGAAATTTACTCCGTAAAGTCTTGTCATATAAAGATAGTCGCTTCTGAATTGACTACTGTATGTTTACCGTATATGTCATTTTGAGAGGAAGTTTCCTCTCTAGATGAAATGTAGTTGTGTACACTAGATCAGTGATAGTCTTTGGGAGGAATGTGGTAGTGAACACTATATCTGTGATAGTCTTTGGGAGGAAATTTACTCTGTAAAATCTAGCTGCGTAAAAGATGGTTGATTTGGCATTGAAATACTGAATGTACAATGCACCGACGTGAATTTAGAGAGGAAATTTACTCTCTAGATTTTGTTAATAACAAACTGTAATGTGAGAAGTGAACACTCTATCAGTGAAATTCTTTGGGAGGAAATTTACTCCGTAAAGCCTTGTTATCTTATTTTTAGTGTATGAATGTCATTTTGAGAGGAAATTTCCTCTCCAGATTTTTGCTATTTTCAAATTGTAATGTAGTTGTGTACACTATATCAGTGATATTTTTTGCACCAACGTGCATTTCGAGAGGAAATTTACTCTGTAGAGTTTTTTTTCTATTTTGAAATATAGTGGTGAACAATGTATCAGTGATATTCTTTGGGAGGAAATTTACTCCGTAAAATGTAGCTATGTAAACGATGGTTTCTTTGGCTTTGAAATACTGAATGTACAATGCACCGACGTGAATTTAGAGAGGAAATTTACTCTGTAGATTTTTGTTAGTACTAATTTGTAATGTTAGTAGAGAAAACTGTATCAGTGAAATTCTTTGGGAGGAAATTTACTCCGTAAAATCTAGCAATGTAAACGATGGTTGATTTGGCATTGAAATACTGAATGCACAATCCACCGACGTGAAATTAGAGAGGAAATTTACTCTCTGGATTTTTGTTAGTAACAAACTGTAATTAAAGCAGTGAACACTGTTTCAGTATAATTCTATGGGAGGAAATTTACTCCGTAAAATCTAGCTATGTAAACGGTGGTTGATTTGGCAATGACATACTGAATGTAGAATGCACCAATGTGAATTTAGAGAGGAAATTTACTCTCTAGATTTTTGCTATTTTCAATTTGTAATTGTTTGTAGTGAATACTGTATCAGTGATAATTTTCGGGAGGAAATTTACTCCGTAAAATCTTTTTATATCATGGACAGTCGCTTTTGAATTGACTGCGGTATGTTAACTGTATAGTGTCATTTTTGAGAGGAAATTTACTCTGTAGATTTTTGCCTTTTTCAAATTGTAATGTGGTAGTTAAAACTGTTTCAGTGATAGGTTTTGGAAGGAAATTTACTCCGTAAAATCTAGCTATGTAAACGATGGTTTGTGTTCTTTAAACTTTTAATATTTGCACCAATAAATATCTTTTAAACTGTGTTATTTGTTGAGTTTTGTCAATACCTAAGGGCAATATGCTTAAAACAGAAAAAAAGATTTTCTGTTTTGATTTTGGAATGCGTTATACATGTATGTTTTTATTTAGTCAGTGATTTCAAAAATCTACATGTAAAATATATATTGAGTACATTATAAGTAAATGTACATGATTTAAAAACCCTGGATATTCTGACATACTGATGGTGACATCAGTTATTTAAAAGAGTAATTGTTTATGTAAAATTTTGTTTATATGAATGTAAATGGGGTATTTATCCTCAGTTTATGTGAGGTGTAATCTGCATTTAACCCAGAGTGCATTTAATATTTCTATGAAAGGACATTCTTTGATTATATTTAAATAAGGAAAGATAGTCACTAAATTTTGGTAAAATACATGGTATTTTTTTAAAAACATTCCTGTCCAGTGTTTATCTATATATTATTACTTTATTTATATTGTAAAAAGAGGTTAAAATGTGTAATCACTGAATTGTATAATCTTTTCAGGATCAGCTGAGATGTTGTTTTTCCTGGATTATTTAATGGATATAGGCTTATTGGGCATATAATTGGATATCTGGTAAGTCTGTATTGTTTTTGTTTACATTTCCTATGAAGGTCATCTTTGCATTTAAGCATGATTAAATGGTTTAATCTAATAACTGTGTAATACTGATGTGATCTAATATCTCTAACATTCTTATAAGCAGAGTCTTATTTAGCCTAAAATATACTAAGGAATCTTCAGAATGTTAATAAGTCCTGTTCCATGCATTGTGATATAATGTCATAATTCATTATGTCAGTTACCCATGGAATTCAGACTTACCACATTGTGATCTATAAGGAATGAAATAAAAGAAAAAGTAAGAATCTACAAAAGGTTTATCCTTGTTTAGATTTTAAATATGTGCTATTTATGGCATATATAATCCTTTCATTTTCACTGTTGTTTCTTAGTAATGAGCTTTTCAAAAAATGTAGGACTATGTTTGTTTGTTTGATTTTTTTTTGTAAACTGTACTGACAGGTATTAAACAAAATTGAATATGCTGTTAAGAGAAAGTCTGTTAGTGTCTAAAAATTACTCTGATAATAATTTTTATTTGTGAGATTTATACAGTAACTATACTTTTTTGTTATCTAAAGATTACATGATGAACTTTTCTCATCTTGAGTAAATGTGGAAACAATTTTTTTGAGTAATTATTAAATACAAATATTCTCATGAACTTTTTGACACTGTATTTAAACATGTATTGTTTCATGTAGTATTGTGTCACATTTAAAAATGGTTCTACAGTCATCAACATGGAAGATAAATGTTTTGTTCCTATACTCAAGAAAAAATCATGATCTTTTTTTTTTGGTATTGTATTTAAACATGCATTGTTTCGTGCAGTACTGTGTCATATTAACAAAATGATTTTATTTTCTGCAGTCCTCAACATGGAAGATATGGTTTATTCCTACCCATCTATAATCAATTCTCTATGAAGTTCAGCCTGTCTACTCTTCCTTGGGAAATACACAGTCAGTCAACCAACATAGATACAAACTTGAAGGTAAAGTTTCAATGAGATACAATTTTAATTTTTATTTATTTATTTGTATATTTTTTAACATATGCATGTTTATATTTTTGAAATGATATATTTGAATAAAAAGGGCTTGGTGGTCATTGTCATGTTTAACTATATTGATATCCTTTAGAAGAAGAAGAAAAGGCATAAAAATTTATGATCAAATTTTAAAACTAAAATGTATGAAATTTTTCCTTGCCGAGTGATAGTTAACATCTGAAGATAGCATATCTATAGAATAAGTTAAATATGGCTTATTTGTTAACCCCCAGCTTCCTTAATAGCATAGTTGTAAAGATAGGAAGTTTTGACTTCAATTGCTGATGAATTCTGAATTTTCCATTTAATATTAACATTATATCAAAGGGAGCGAATACTATAATGTGGCTCATTAGGATGACCAGAAAAGAAATCTTAATGACCCTCTTGACTATGTATAAAGACTGTAACCTTATAACTGATGTAAGATGATCTGGTTGTGTGGGAATAAAATTTCCTGGTGTTTATACTACACAAGCTCTTCTTATGAGTGTATGGGACTGCTGTAAACCTTCTCCTGTTTATAAAAATAAAACCTTGGAGCATGACACTTTTATTCATAAAAGGTACTTTCAATATTATTTCTATGAGTTTGTGTTCTTTCTTTTTAATAATCTAGTGTTATATCTCCTTTAACCTCATTAATATGTATGCTTCCAAAATCTTAGATCTGTCTGTATTAAGTTTCTTCAGCTCTTTGAACACAAATAGTCTGATTCAATCTTTTGAGGTAAACATCATAGAGACATCATAGATGATTATCAGAGTGTATATATCACAAACTTGACCATGAGGTCAATTTAAATGGTCAAAGGCACAATAAATGAAAGTGATTTTTTTAAAAAAAAATCAGAATACAAAATTTTGTAATAAACAAACACTGGAATGTTACTCTCATAATGAGCCCCAATGTCTTCCAAGAGTTCAGTTTGGACTTCCTCCATTAATCCTTGTATCTTGTAATCCTTGTATCTCCAATGTTTTTGTGGGCTAAAAATCATGTGTCTTTAACAATCTTTTTTTTTCCTTACAACTGTTTTCTCTTATTATCTATAAACTTGACTTCTTCTCTAGTCAAAGGTCTTTCAAGGTAATCCAAGCAATTCTTACCCTCTTTTGGTAATAAATGGTTATATTCTTCATTGACTTCTTCTGCAATCAAGAGTCTTTCTATGTAATATCTGACAACATTAGGATCACCCTTTTCTGGACATAATTGGTTATACTCTTCTTAAGAAATGATCTCAATAGTGCCATCTTTTTTTTATTTTAACTGGTATACCTCTGTCTATATCTTTCTCTGAAAGAATTCTCTCTCCATACTGTATTTTACTCATTCCTTTACCCTTTTCTTTACTAGAGGTGTTACCCATGGTTAATATGAAAAGTCAAAATCTTATGTTACAACCTGTATTTATACCCTTTTTGTCTATATTTAGAATTCCATCAAGCTTATAATACATTACAATTTTTCTTTTTCAACTAAGACATTATTTCTTTTATTTTTCAGGATTCTCTTGTTAGGGCTTATGGAAATGATCTATGTCTACTCTTAGATTGGTGAAAGACTATCAGATTATGTAAAGACTAACAGAACATCCTCTCTTTGAACACTGAAACAAGAAAACCAAACTTAAGAGGATGGAGGATTTAAGAAGAACATAGATAAATATGATTTCCAACGAATTTAACCAGTACGATCATAGACTGTGGTTTACAGGATGGCAAAGAAAGTACCCAGGATTGTATCTTTCACTGTCAGACACTGTCTATGGATAAAGTGTAATCATTTATCAAACTGAGATCTAGTCAAATCAAGTATTGAAAATATGATTTTCTGATAGCATGAGCTCTTTATAAACTAATTCTCACAGACCTCAAAGTATCTGAATGTGACTTTTATTTTTACCAATTCATATTGAAGACTGTTGTTATGTATGGGAATTACACATTAAAAACTTTTATTTTTCATATAATTTTTACAACCCCCTAGAAATTACACAGATATCCATATGCTGGATTTAATGTTATTATTTAACTTTCCTGGAATTGTAAATATATTTTGTTTGTGTATGTATCATGTTTAATTTTGAATTTAAAATTGGTCTCAATAAGACCCCCAATAAAGATGCAAGTGTCCCACAATCTGTGGTTTAATAATATCTTGAATATCTTTATCATACCATATTCCTCATACTAATTACATATAGAATGGTAGGAATACACATTGTTGTTAAGGACACTTTGTCAAGGTCATAGCATAAGATTATTGAGATGACTTCTTTGACAATAATTTGTAACTTACAAACTTCACATCATAAGTAAACAGATGAAGAATCAATAAGATATTATATATATATTTTGGATCATTTACTCCGGGGTAAAAGCTAGTTACTGAGATTACTGATTTGAGTCCTGTAATGCAATAACTTAAACATTGTGTAATAACTTATAGACTTTATAAAAATTAAGTGCAAATTCTAAGGAAAGGAATGAAATGTAAATCAAATGTACAATGATCAAGGATGTTTATATGATTATTACTATGTAATACCTTGGGTTTCTGTAAAAATCCTATATTCACTACATAGATAAAAACCTGTATAATATATATTTTAAACTATGATGAAGGAAAAAAAAAGGTCAAAAGCTCTCCCCTTCATCTCTTTCATATTCTGTCATACACAACAATAGATAATTTGCAGTCATATAACAAATTGATGTCTAATCAAATCCTAGAATTGATATTGTGATTTTGTGATAGTATGAGATCTTCAAAAAAAATAATAATTCCCAGACTTCAAAGTATCTAAATGTGACTTTTATATTTACCAATTCATATTGAAGACAATTGTTATGCATGAGAAGTATACATTTAAACCTTTTATTTTTCATCTTATTTCTACAACCCCTAACAAATTACACAGATGTTTAAAAGCTAGCTTTGGTGTAATTATTACTTTCCTGGAACTGTAAATACATTTTGTTTGTGTATGTGTGTGTCCTATTTTGAATTTAATAGGTCTCAATAGGACCCTCATAAAGATGTAAGTATCCCCTGATCTGTGATGTAATAATATCTTGAATATTTCTATCAACCATTAGACTTCATGCTTACTACACAGAACAAGTTAAAGTAATACACTTAGTTTTATAAGACACTTTGTCAGGGTCAAAGCATGACATTAGTGAGATAACTACCTTTGACAATAATTTGTTACCTTCAAAATTCACATCACAAGTAAAGAAAGATTCGGAGATTTTCTATAGATTTTTGGATCATTTTTCTCCTGGGTCATAATAAATTGTTGTAACTTTAACATTTTGTGATAACCTAGAGACTTGATATCAGCTTAATTGGGTGGCATAGCATATTCTTTGGAAAGAATTGAAATGTAAATCATATGCACTATGTTCAAGGATGTTTAAAGAATATTACTATGTAATACCCTAGAATTCTGTAAAAATTTTATTATCAATGCGTAGATACGGTACCGACCAGACCCAACCTGACACAAAGCAGTCCCAGAGCAGTCCCGGGGACTGCTTTCTGGGACTGCTAAAGCAGTCCCACAGCGGTCCCAGAGCAGTCCCACAGCGGTCCCAGAGCAGTCCCACAGCAGTCCCAGAGCGGTCCCAGCAGTCCCAGCGGTCCCAGAGAGCAGTCCCAGCAGTCCCAGAAAGCAGTCCCAGCAGTCCCAGTGGGCGGGGTTTATTAATTTAATGGGCGGAGCTAACTCAGAAAATGAGATTTCCAATAAACAATGGGACTATAAAAGGCAGTAGAAATTGATTCTGGGTAGTATGCAAGGAATCCTTACATGTACGCGAAGGTCATTTATGAACAGAACATGTACGCGCATGAAAATTGAAATAATTATTAATATTTATTGGGGGAAGAAGGCTTTCACACTTACATGTACATATATGGATTACACTGAACATGAATATTTAATCACAATTCTTTGGTGTATTGATAATTTTATTTTGATTGATACTGGTTCCCATATTTATTTTTATACAGAAAATAAATATTATCCACCAGAAGAAGCTTTAAATAGATCTTATCATTATATGGCTAATTTAGACTATCGGGATACTCTAAAGTTAGAGTTTTCTTAAGTATTGGGGCTTTTAAAAAAATTCTTTGTTAATTTTGCCAAGTATTATTTTTCAATCATGATTATTTTTTCTGACATGTCGCATTAATTATCATTAATGCCTAGTTCTACAAAACTCAGTTTTAAGTGTTTTATTTGTAAATGTTAGAGTGTACATCTGTAAATCACCAGAATGGAAGCTTCAGATTATGTTCAAAATTAATTAATCCCGAAAGAAATTTATACACATTTCATTCATTCCTTTTTTTCCCCATTAAATAAATTGAAATAAGAATCATTGTTTACCAGCATGTTCAATGATGTGTAAAGGTCGGTACACACGGTAAGGCTTGCCTTACAAGTCTAAAACCTTACGTTTTGCAGGACGTACGGCTCTCATGTCCACACGCTAAGGCAAGACTTACAAAATTATAAACAACATTTACATAAATTCCATGTGTTTTTGAAACATAAACAATGTGCATTATTAAACAGAATGATAGAATACTAGCTAGGACTTTGAAATAGTTTTACCGACCAGTGCATCCACACTTCTTAACAAGGAAGAGGAGGTTACCTGAAGTATTTGTAGATAGTATCATTATCTTACTCGAATATGCTTTGTGTTTTCTTCAATATACCAATAAGTGTGGTTTTATAAAAATAGATTGAACTTTGGGTAAATGGTTTTCATTGATCAAAAATTAAATGTCAGCTAAGTCTTGTATTAGGAAATAGAGCAGTGTTCTATTCTAAAGTCAGACTTGTAAGGCTCCAAAAACGTGTATTAAGGGTGTACACACGGTAAGGCTAGAACTTAAGTTCCATGACTTATAAGGCAAGCCTTACTGAAAGGTCAAAGGTCAGTACAATGGTCTGACGTGTTTTTTCAGCTCCGTGACTATCTCTTCAAATCTCATAATTTCTAAGTTGGAATTAATCATAATTTGGATCAATAGATGGAATAACCAGTTCAGGACATGCCTCTGAGTGTCCAGTGTGTAAAAAGTGGGTAATAAACTGGTATTTTATTGCTCCTATTCATGTCATTGTTTGCGCATACAGATGTGTGAAAAGTGTTCACCGCCATTTTCCTGATACCTTGTGATAATACCTAATGTGCTGTACATTTAAGGTATGTTCGTGGCTGTTAAAATAAACAAATAATAAACAAAAAATGGGAAAAAGCAATAACAATAATCGCAACTCTAACAAGTACAAATCAAGCCAGCCAAACAAAAGGCCTTGTCCAGATTCATCAGGGGACATCTCATTAGACAATATGGGTGACTCAAGTGAGTCTCCAGATGCGTCCTTAAAAAATTTAAGTGTAATATTGCAAGACATCGAACGCTCTGGAGACGACCAAAAGGTGAAACAAGCGGTAGAAATTATCTTTAAACATGAGTCAATAAAATCTGGAATCTTAGGTTGTGTGCAGGCTAAAATGATTGCCATGGAAAATGAAATCACCCAACTTAAAACAAGAATGGATGACATGGAGCAATATTCACGTCGCAATTGCCTCAAATTCACTGGCATTCCGGAGGGAAAAAATCAGAATACTGATAAATGTGTCCTAAACGTTATAAACAAACTTATTTTCCAGGGAACTGATGTCCATTATGACCATACAATGATTGATAGATCTCATAGGGTTGGTCCCTACAACGAAGAACGCCCAAGAGATATTATCGTGCGTTTTGTTAGCTATCGTGACCGAGATCTTGTCTACAGAAACAAGAAAAACTTGAAACCGTTCAACAATAATCCGAGCAATGTGAGTAAAATATTTATCAATGAAGCGCTCACAAGTTCACGATCCAAGTTGTATACTACATCCAGGAGACTTATGCGGGAGAAAAAAATAGACAGTACCTGGACAATCGACGGCCGGATCAAACTGAAACTCCTTGACGAGAAAATCGTGTCAATCACACGAGAGGATGAATTAGTAAAATTGGGCCTCGACTTGTCTGTCTCTCCCCAGGAAGTCCGGGATACTTCGACACCGCATCGAAACTCAACTCACCTGTGAGTATACTCATGGTTTTTTATAAGCCAAGCAGAACTTTCCATCTCATTGTTATTATATAAAGACATTTTTCTCGTCACTCTGTTTTCGTAAGTCAGCTGTTATCATCCATGTCGACGAAGCGCTCTACGATATTCTATTATTAGAACAAACAGTTTCCAATTCTAAATTTAATCCAAACCACAGATAGTTACTCCACGTCGCGGCGGAGTCTTTCTAATGCTTCTAGCTAAAGTTCTATCAAATTATACTTTCAACATATTCTGTATATTCATTTTATCCTTATTTTTCCATTATCATGTTTTTGTGCACGTGTTACTTTTGTTTACTTTCATTTTGTGTGTTCTATTTTGCACTTATTTTTTGCTTGCCTATTATTTACTTTGGTTTCCACGAAAAGTATCTTCTTACCCTCTTCGTACTCTGAGGAATTTTTTTCTCTGCTTATACGCTATACATATATTTTGTTATTGTTTTTTGTGTTTCTTCAATCCGGAATCCGGATTACACTACCAGTACCGGTTTTATAGTTACATAGCTTATATTATTTTCCGATGTGAAAGTTACATGTGCAGTGTTATACTATTATTAATGTCCATGGCCAGTTCTCCTCCTTGTGAGTGTTTTTTTATTTTTGATACTGGTGACTAGCCAATCACAGTTAGTAACATGGCCATGGACTTTATCTCTTACTAGGTATGTACGTTTTCTTATATGCAAATCACTTATGAATAATATCCACTTTTTATTAATTGTGGTCGAGTATTTGCTCATATTATCTGGCATTGAAACAAATCCCGGACCACCACATCCTGATAATCCACTAATGACAAACTTACGTATTGCCCATAATAATGTTTGTAGCTTACTACCAAAAGTTGATGTTATATCAACTGAGTTATCTGATTTCGATATCATTGCTCTCACTGAAACCCAGTTAGATAATTCGATCAGGGATGATGACATTTTGTTAAACGGATATCATCAACCTATTCGAAAAGACAGAAATCGTTTTGGAGGAGGCGTTGCTCTCTACGTATCAAATAACATACATTTTTTAGAAAGAAAAGATCTTGAT